AGACTACAAAAGGCAGATCATTTGTAATGATGAGATCCATAGCTTGAAGAAAAAGGGGAAGAGATTAATTTCCATGAATTCAAGTAATTTCATTTCAAATACTACCGAACTTAGAACATTATATTTCACTGATTTACACAGTCATGAAGATAAAATAGAATTGTTTGTATGTGAGGCATGGACAGAGTTGCCAAGTGTGTAAAGTAAGGGAGGTTCAACTTTCAGAAAACTTACCCTTCTTCAAGACCTTTTATGAACTGAGGCCAGATGTGTATTTAGAAACTTGCAAACTGTAGGTATAGACAGAAATATATAAATCTAAATGGGAGGATTTTTTTATTCAGGAGAAAATATACTGCTGTGTCATTAAAGGTTAATTTCTGTGTTTTTATGTATTTTAGGTAAATTTTTATTGTGTGTCTTTCCCAAGAACTGGCAACTTGGAAGTGCATGTTTCTCTGCTTCTTATAAATGCATTCCCCAAGGCTGCAGTTCTTCAAGCTTTAAGGCGGTTTTCATTAAAGCAGCCAGCTGCCTCTTTGTGTGGATTGGCTGCTTAAAGCTATAGCCTTGAAGTCGGAGCCTCAGTTTTGACATTCTGTGGACCCTTAGTAAAGAAGTTCCATTCATATGATGTCTAGGGGTGCAAGGGGTGGTTATCCATGAAATCAAACAGCTGCTCGGGCTAGCAGGAGAGCAGAAAACATAGGAATGAATGAATGCAGGCAAGGTTGAGAGAGAAGGAAGAGGAACACTCAAACAAACCTCCCCCAAGGTGGATATATTAAAAGAGAAACATCAAGGAGTAATTTTACTTAAGTTTTAACTAGTTGTTAACTCTACTCCTCCAATGGCCACCTCCAAAATATTTTTTCTTTGTTTTATGTTGTTTTCTGGTTTCCCTTATCCTGGGATTACATAAATGAGAATTAAGATCTATCAAGTGAATTGCCATCTCCCCTCTTTTTTAGTAACTGTTTCCAGTTCAATGTAAGGGAGTGATTAGGTGAGTTTTCTGCTAACTCCTGGTATACAGAAATACCTTAAATGATATTTTATATATGACATGGGTATGTTTACCAAAGGGACAAGTTACTAAATCTGAGTTCGACTTACAGTGCATGGGCTGATCCTATAACTGATATCTTGAAGATTTTAGGGAACTTGGCCAAGGTGCTGATTGCTACAAAGATCCAAACCTGGGGATACTATATCAAGGAGTATAAAAGTGTGAGAGATGAATATTGGCATCTTTTCCGTGTTGGCTGTTTCTCTTACATGCAGCGCACCCCAATAGGAGAGAGCCGGCACCACTTCTTCACACTAGTTCAGCCCAAGATAATGATCTTGCTCCAGACCTTGAAGAAGATCCTGGGTTGGTGCCAAAGCCAGGATCTCTGCACCGGGTGCCTCCAAGACTGTCTTGTGGAAAGGGCTTTGGGGACCCCACAGTAGATGCCTAAAGCAGAGAGGCCCGTAGGAATTGCCTTTTCAGCCATTGTCCTAGCGAGTGTTCTCGAGGAGCTGTGCTGGAGTGAGGGAGATATCAAGACACCTTGTCAGTTCAAAGCCTTTTATGGTTGTTTGAAATCCTCTCCACGTCAACGTAAGCAGCCTCTGTATTTGAACAGCTGCTTTGAACAGTGAAAAGGAATGAGCTGAATCAAAACCTGGAGGTGTCTGCCTGAGACACCTTCACCTTGCTTTTATGGGGGCGGAGATAGGCAGACGTTCGCGCCGGCTCTGCCCTGAACCGGGTCAGACCAGAGGACTGCGCCCATGACTGTGGAGGGAAAGAGGGAAGTGTGAAAAATCCCCCATCTGGAACTAAAGCCTAGGTTCCGTGATCTCCAGTGAGGAGACCTTGCGGGGAGTGGGACAGGGAACCCAAGCTGCTCAGGAGCCGGCATTCGCGCCAACCGGGCCCCCAGCTACCGGCAGGGAGCAGGCGGTGGCTCTGGGAGGGGTGGGAGGAGGTAGAACTCAGAGTGGTGTTGCGCGCCTAGCTTGCCCGCCCAACGATTAGCCCTACTGCGGGGGAGGGGGACGCACAGTCTGAGACCCCGGGTAGGGCACGTCTTTGTATACTCTCGGGATTTATAGAGCATATTAAGTCCGATAGAACGATCTCGGCTCGCCCTGTTGGGAACGTTTCAGCTCTTTCGCACGCCAGCGAAATGAGGCGGGGCTGGGGGGTGGAGTGGAGACCTCGGACGTCAAAGTGGGAAGGATCTCCGAGCATTAATCGCCAGTGATGTCCCATCGCAGACAGGAAGTTTTGATGTACACGTGCTGCCTGTTCTTACCTCCCCCCACCGCACACACAGTAGTGCCTTAAGCCCGAGGTGGGAGATGAGGGTACAGAGGGAGACCAGAGGAGGGACTTTTAAATTGCTCAAAGCCAGGCACCCTCAGTTCCCTCGGAAATGCATCTGGAAACTTATTCTCTCTAATGCATCAGGCTGCTTAGGGGCAGGTCCTTCCAGAAATGTGAAATTAAATCCAGAGAAAAACGGACGCCTGTCTTTAAAGGGGAAGCGGGGAATCGGGGTGCGAGGTGCTTAGTAACCGGAGGCAGCCTTCCCCGGCAGCTGGATTCTTCCCTAGGTAGAAGCTCGGAGCTCCCGGGAGGAAAGGAAAGAAAGGCGCCGGGGCGAGAAGGGAACACTGCTGGCGAGAGGCCTGCGAGTTTCCCAAGGGCGGGGTAAAGCCATGTACCCAGCGTAGGGGACACAGGGCTGAAGCGTTAAGGAGGTTGCCTCGCCCTCCCCAGCAATCTGGGCTGCTTTCCGTACGAGAGCCGCCTGCACCGCCCGCTGAGTCTGCACGCTGCGAGGCTTCGACTTTTTCTTTTTCTTTTCTTTTTTCTTTTTTCCTGGCCAGGCCAAGTTACTGGATCCCTAGCAGCTCCCAGGCGAGCGGTTAGAGTGGCTGGGCGACTGCGCTGGGAGTCACCGCTCCACATTGTATATGGTAGCCGCGAGTGCGCGCGGGTGGCGGGAGTGTAGGTCCGTCCCGCCGCTGCCTGCGGGCTCGCCCCTCCCCTAACCATTTCTCTCTCTCCTCACACACACCCTCATAAACACAGGACACGTGGAAATTCTCAGCCAAAGCGCCTTGCCCGGGCGGGTGCTCAACGTGGTGATTTATAAACAGCTCAGCCACTCCCCAAAGAGCACCGCTCCTCGTTAGTCATGATGAATTTTCTGGTCTGCTCTATTCTGCTGTCTAGATTAAGATGCTCGGAGGCCCCAAAATGCTCCCTTTGAGCGTTAATTTGGCTTCCCTCACAAGCCTACCATCGCTGACAGAGCCTGCCGAGCTAGCACCACAACGCAGGAACCAGGGATGAGAGGTGCGGAAGCTATTCATGTTCCCTGGAGTCTTTCCCTTCCTAGCAATAACTTTTACTTCGCTTTGGTACTAGTACCGGTGCTGTACTACCGACACTTCCTGGCGGTCCGCTGCTTCAGCCTGAATCCGCCCCTAGATCCCTGATATCAGGTTCTCATGCTCGAAAACTGGCAGCAGACACCTGCTCCTGCGGGCTAAGAAACAGAAGGCGTGACACGCTCGCTCGCGCTCTGCAGAGCGGCGCCCCGGGTGCACTGTCCCGCGGTCTTGTTCTGGAGTTCACGGCTGCCTGCTGAGCTGGAAGCTTGACTGACCAGCGTCCTAGAGCTTAGATTAACCCCACCCCCTGGCGCCCGCAAAAGTTATTGATGAGAAAGGTTTCCCTGGCATCAACTCATTTACTTTCACCTTTTTCTTCCCTTTTGAAGTGACTTAACGGAAAAGTTGCGCCAATAAGCGCAAAGAACACGGGGTGGTGGTGGTGGGGAGCTCATACATCTCCATCAGCACCGCTCCCAGAGCTTCTCTTGAATATTCACCAAACCAAGTGCACCCCTCGCCAGCACTTCTGCAGCCTCCCACAAGTCGAAGGTCTACCCACACAAGCTCCTAGTTTCCTAAACCAAAAACTGTGCGCGCGCCCGAGTGTGAATCTGACAGACTTTTAGAGTTTTGTTTTCAGTTCAGACCGCTGTACTGTTAGAGCAGCCAACTCTGCGCCTTGATAGGAGTGGCTCACAAGCCGCGGCAAGGCTGAGCTTGCCTCTCGCTGAGTCTTTTCGGTGAAGGACTGAGAGGCAGCCGGGCCTGGAACCAAGAGCCTGTGCTAGCTAGCGGGGTGGAGATGAAGGAGGGAACCTTCATTCCAGTCAAAAGTGTCCGCACAGTCAGGAGCAAAAGGCACCTGTGCACTGAAATTCTAACTACGAGAGGAAGGGGTCTTCAACTAGGGGACAATTCTGGCTCCTGGCTCTAGGTTTAAGCGACACTGGTGTGTGTGTATCCCTAGGTGAATGAAAATCGAACTCCTGCTGGCTCCATGCGACCCAGCCTTTCTTTTTCTCCATCGCTCCCCCCACTCCCTCAAAAGCCCTATTGGAAAGAAAAAGTGGACCCCCCCACACACACACACACACCCTATCCAAGTCTTCCAAGTGGCTGTGGTCGATAAGAGCGCCGGAACCATCCCCCTGCCCGGCTTCTCTGCCTGGGAGACAGATGGGGGGCGGGTCCCATCCGAGAGGGGGCGGAGGAGGCCGGGGATGGGGAAGAAGAGGGGGGGCGAGAACTGAGAGAATCTGAATCGCCGGGCTAGGGGGGACTAGGAGGAGGGCTAGGACGACTCCGAGCCTGGGGGAGGAGAGGGGGCAGGTTTGCGCCAATCAGTGGCGCCGGCCTGGGAGGTTGCTAGCGGTATCCACGTAAATCAAAGGGCGCGGAGCCAATGGGAGGGGGCGGAGGGGGCGGGGCCCAGGCGCGTGCCGCTGCGAGCCAGCGCTGCCAAGAGAGCGGGAGAGAGCTGGAGAGAGCAGGGAGAGGGGGGAGCGCGGAGCGAGTCAGAGTGAGCGAGAGCGAGAAGGAGGGAGAGGAGAAAGAGAGCGAGGGCGGGCGGGCGGGAGGCGACGGCGGCGGCAGCGGCAGCAGTAATAGCAGGAGCAGCAACAGAAGGCGTCGGAGCGGGCGTCGGAGCTGCCCGGTAGGGGAGAGAGAGAGTGGAAAGAGAAAGAGGGCGAGAAGGAGAGGGAGCCAGAGGCGAAAAAGTAACTGTCAAATGCGCGGCTCCTTTAACCGGAGCGCTCAGTCCGGCTCCGAGAGTCATGGCGACCGCAGCGTCTAACCACTACAGCCTGCTCACCTCCAGCGCCTCCATCGTGCACGCCGAGCCGCCCGGCGGCATGCAGCAAGGCGCCGGGGGCTACCGCGAGGCGCAGAGCCTGGTGCAGGGCGACTACGGCGCGCTGCAGAGCAACGGGCACCCACTCAGCCACGCTCACCAGTGGATCACCGCGCTGTCCCACGGCGGTGGCGGCGGCGGCGGGGGCGGCGGCGGCGGGGGCGGGGGCGGCGGCGGGGGCGGCAGCGACGGCTCCCCTTGGTCCACCAGCCCCCTGGGCCAGCCGGACATCAAGCCCTCAGTGGTGGTGCAGCAGGGCGGCCGCGGCGACGAGCTGCACGGGCCAGGCGCCCTGCAGCAGCAGCACCAGCAGCAGCAACAGCAGCAGCAACAGCAACAGCAGCAACAGCAGCAGCAGCAGCAGCAGCAACGGCCGCCGCATCTGGTGCACCACGCTGCCAACCACCACCCCGGGCCCGGGGCATGGAGGAGCGCGGCGGCTGCAGCGCACCTCCCACCCTCCATGGGAGCGTCCAACGGTGGCTTGCTCTACTCACAGCCCAGCTTCACCGTGAACGGCATGCTGGGCGCCGGCGGGCAGCCGACAGGGCTGCACCACCACGGCCTGCGGGACGCGCACGACGAGCCACATCATACCGACCACCACCCGCACCCTCACTCTCACCCACACCAGCAGCCACCGCCGCCGCCGCCCCCACAGGGCCCGCCAGGCCACCCAGGCGCGCACCACGACCCGCACTCGGACGAGGACACGCCGACCTCGGACGACCTGGAGCAGTTCGCCAAGCAGTTCAAACAGAGGCGGATCAAACTGGGATTTACCCAAGCAGACGTGGGGCTGGCGCTGGGCACCCTGTACGGCAACGTGTTCTCGCAGACCACCATCTGCAGGTTTGAGGCCCTGCAGCTGAGCTTCAAGAACATGTGCAAGCTGAAGCCTTTGTTGAACAAGTGGTTGGAAGAGGCAGACTCATCCTCGGGCAGCCCCACAAGCATAGACAAGATCGCAGCGCAGGGGCGCAAGCGGAAAAAGCGGACCTCCATCGAGGTGAGCGTCAAGGGGGCTCTGGAGAGCCATTTCCTCAAATGCCCCAAGCCCTCGGCCCAGGAGATCACCTCCCTCGCGGACAGCTTACAGCTGGAGAAGGAGGTGGTGAGAGTTTGGTTTTGTAACAGGAGACAGAAAGAGAAAAGGATGACCCCTCCCGGAGGGACTCTGCCGGGCGCCGAGGATGTGTACGGGGGGAGTAGGGACACGCCACCACACCACGGGGTGCAGACGCCCGTCCAGTGAACTCGAGCTGGGGGGGAGGGGCAGAGCGCGGGGCTCCCCCTCCCCTTCGGCCCAAGGTCCTTTCCGGACCCCTGTTCCCTCTCTAACTTTTGATTGTTCTTTTTATTTTTAATTATTATTTCCCCGTCCCTTAAAAAGAAAAAAAAATAAGGAAAAAGGAAAGCAACTAAGACACTGGACTATCCTATAAAAGATAGCAGGTGTAATGATGTGTTTTGACCTTTACAGGCGAGTACCCAGGCAATGAAGTAGAGTGTCTCCTAGAGAGAGTGAGAAGAGTGTGTGTTTGTGTGCGTGAAAGAGAGAAAGAGAGGTGGCAAGCACTGAGATAAATACCTGGCAAAACTAAATAAATTACCAAAAAGAAAAAGAAACCCACCAAACCATGATAAACACAAAACTGCAGCTCCCTCATGCTTGATGCTTGGAGTTGGGACATGCTGCTGTGTTTATTTAATGTGGATTCCCATCAGGAAAGAGGAAAAAAATCACACATTCTTTGATATAGGCAAAATTTAACCACATAAATTTGCACTGCAAGAAAATTGAAGTTTACATGAACAAATTCATAAACATATTTTTTCTTTTAATCCCCATGGTTAATTTTGGAATTGCCGTTTTGGTTTGGTTTTGCTTTGCTTTGCTTACTCAGTAGAGAGAATTGAAGCCAGTTCTTGGCCGCTCTCCATTTCTAGTTCTTGTATTGCCCCTTCTTACTGTTTGTGAAGTTTGATTACCTTCATATTCCCTTTGAATTGATGTAACATTTATTTGTTCTTTTTACCAAAGCAAAATGATTGAATTCATACAAAAGAAAAAAAAAACCTAATTGCTTGCTTTGGGGAAATGTGTATGGTCTACACACTTTATCCAAGGCAAGACTCTAGTTTAGAATATAAAAATAAGAGTCAAGCATTGGTTTTCTTACCACCCACAAAGTAAACTTCATTTTCAGGCAGTGTTTCTGGGGGAGGTTATACAGGGGAGAAAAAGAAAAATCAATAGTGAGTGACTGATTGCTTCATTTTATCAGGCGGGCCCATTGTGAAAGAGCTCAAAGGAAACGTGGAGGTTAAATATATTTCCAGAGTTGTCCAACAGAAAGAAAGTGGCACTTTGAAGAGAGCTAAGTGAATATATATCTTCAGCTACCCCCATATAGTTCTCTGCTTTTAGTTTTAATAACTTAATTATGAGAAATTATTTGTGCTGACTGCAGCAACTAAACTTTGTTCCTCAAATTGTCTTTTTTTTTAAGCATAAATAACATAACCCAGGAACTCAATGCTGTATGCACATACCGTGTTTCTTAGCACACAAATACCCATATGCATACATAGACCATAGACTGGATTTGTCCTCACTAGTTCATTTGTTTATCAGTCATATTTAGGGGTCCCAGATCTTCTTTCCCTCTAACTTATCACAGAAAATACCAATTTCACTTGGACTGCTCCTCCCTTCAATAAGGAAGCTAAATGAAGTGAAAATAAAATGCCATTTTCAATCCTTCCTCTCTCCCCTTTGTTAATAGTTTTAAGTGCATTTTTTTTTTTTTACCTTATCTTGATGGAAAACAGTTAACTCCCAACACAAAAAAACTCTACTGGAAAGTGTAGGTGAAAACAAACAAACAAACTTGTAACTGTATTGAAAATAAATACCATTAAACTGTGATCAGTTAAAATTTTAAAAATAATAATCAGCACAAAAGGGCGCTAAAAGGGAAGACACTTTTTATTAACCTTAAAAGTTTGGGGCTTTTTTTCCTGGCTAGGAGTAGATAAATGTTTATTTTAAAAGTTGAATTTTCACTACATAAAATTATGGTTCAGCATCAGATTAGTATTGCACTCAGTAGTTAAGGTTTTAGAAAATATGCTTTATACAGTATTGTCTTTCCAAACACCTGTGATTGTTTCATTTTCAATGTTTTTGCAAGATAAATGGTGACTTATAATGGGCATATTCATTTGCCTGTATTTCATTTCCCCCAATGAATGTCACAAGTAGATGGGCACCGGAGCTGCTTCGGGTACATCACTCTGCTTGTTCCTGAGGTGTGGGGACTGGCCTTCAGTGAAGCAATCCAGAGCAGGGCAGAGAGCTAATGGTAAAGGGAGGAAATGAATTTTCAGATACTTATTACCAAGTAGGTAAGGTCAGAAGCTGGAGTTCAGGGGATGTTTCTACAGTTCCTCTAGCTCTCATAGGTTTACTAAGATGAAAGTTACCACTGAACCTTACCACAATGTATATATGTTTAATATCTGTCTTTTGAAATGCAGAAATAGTTTAAATGTTTCTTTGTCTATTTTTCTTTTTTTTTTAATGCTACCCAGGGAAATATTTTCATATCATTTTTAAGTGGCCTGCCTCAATGTATATTTATTTCTTTTGAAGCAAAAAGGTTCTGGAAACTGTTTTTCTGTAGCTTTAAATGAGTAGGTGAGCAAAATCTATATGGGATGTAATTTTTTTGTTCAGTCTCTTTAAAAATACTTTGTTTTGGTACATTTGGTTGTGCTTGTGGGGAAAATAAAAGCGCAGAGATCCTTATATATTTATGTTAAAGTAATATTTTATTATTACATAAAACAGAAATGCACAATACCTTCATAGTTTGTTCTAATTATTGAAATATCTTTATTTTATTTTTAAAGATAGTGCCAAGTTTTAAGGGAAAAAAAAAAAAAACCTTTAGACCTTATACTGACTGAGTTGAGTTGTGTGTAAAACACCTCCCTTCCTTTATACTTCATGAAGTTTTGGAATAAATTTTATGCATATACTGCCAGGTTTCATGTTTATAACTTTCAGAAGCTTTTTTTTTTTTTTTAAAATGAAGACTACTGTTCTGATTTACTTTTCTTTGCAGAACTATCATCAGTTCCAAACCTTTCAGTCACTGTGCCTGTAGCATTAAATTGAAATGGTCACTGGATTTGAGCTTCAATTTGTTTGCCATTTCATGGTCTGACAAAGAGATGTTTGCCCTGTAAATATATGCAGATATTACTGCATTTTCTTTCCAGGTTAGGTATACCTTATCCAATTGGGCTGTTGAGGGAACATCAACTGAACTACATAATTCAGGATCTGCAGAAAAGCAGGGCTTAGTTAGAAGATTATTCCTCTTAATAACTAACAAATATCTTTCAACAAAGAATAACTCGGACAATATGCTATGTGCGTGTTTACCAAATGATTAGAAGTAGATTCTATATATTATTAATGTTAGGTTTACAGGAAAAGATAGATTTTGCAGTGGTCTATACTTTAGTGTCTGTTTCTTATCAAACAAACGGGCTCTAAAATAAGAAGCAGGGGGCATGTATGGGAGAAATTAAGCCATAATGCTAACAGATTCTTTCATTCTTAGAACACTATCGTTTTTTTAAAAAAATCAGTTTTAAGCTTAGTGAGAATTCCAAGCAGACTTGAGTTAGTTTACAAGTTTGTTGATGTATTTAAACTCCTCCTTGGAACATTGGTTTAAGTATAAATGTTCATTTAGAAAGGTAGTTTCTGGGCTTATTACATCTGATCATCTTTTCTAACTCCTAGTCAATATTACATGGGTCCCAAACAGATTCAGCCAAATGATCTTATCAATAGTCTGAACAAGAAGTGACAGAAAGAAGAAGTGTTTTGTGACCGCAGACATGCTGATGGGTAAAATGTTTAAGTTGGATATAGATTTGAGTTCTGGGTCAATATCCCTTCACTGTAGGCAGAAAACAAGCAGCATCTGCCCTCTGCAGGGCATTTCAGTGGACCTTGAGAAGGAATTTTTGCTCTTAACCACAGGGGCTACTCCTGGAAAACATCACATGTTAAGCGGACACATCATGGTCTTGACCCAGGCTTGCCATTCAGATCCTAAAGCTACTAGGGTAGTTTCCATGCCAGTTAGGGAAGGTATTACACCTATGGTGAAAAACTATCATGGCCACTGGGAGAAATCTGTAGGGCATTCATTCCTAGGATGTGGGCTTAGCCACAACGACGTACCCTTTCTTTCTCCTAAAGACAATAATGCAGAATATAGCCATCCTGATAGAACTCTTATGTTTCTTTAAAATATGTCACTTTTTAGATTTATAATATAAGATAGGGGGAAATGATCATGTGGGAAAGAGTTATGTGAAGGTCAGATGGAGGGAATGGCCACAAATAATATTATGCTTGGCATTTCTAAACATTCTCGGTTCCCACGAAGTAACCTCCTTTATATTTCAGATGGCAGCAACAAAAGCACTCTTCTCCTTTCCCTCCTGCTCCTACCAAGGGAGGTCACACACTGGTTGGCAAAATTTTCTGGTAAAATAATTTTGATAAAAGCACTCATCTTTCTACTTATTTCTTCAAAAGCAACTAATAAAGAGATGCAAAAGCAACAACAAGGGGATGACATTTGGGTGCCTTGGTACCCACATGTGTATGTCTATTTGTTGCATTCACTTACTTGCCTTTTATTTTTCTTAGTATGGCAGCATCTTGGATAGTGCTGGGGAGTGGGATGAAATTACCCTTTTATCACTCCTTTCTGTGACATGTCTTTGTGATTTTTTCAACCAATTCATAGAACTCTGTTCTAGATTCTATTGAATTCCTACAGAAGTTAAAGAATGAGGTAACGAATGGAGCTTGTACAGAAAGAGAAAGGATGGTGAAGTGAGGGTTTCTTTGGGTCTGCTTGTATATTTTAGTGGATAAGGCAAAGGGACAGTGTTTATCTAAAATGAAAGAGAAAGAAGCATATTGAAGTACTATGAATCTTAACGATATGATGAAATGGGATGTACAGCTAAATTTTATATAAATATTTTCCCTATTCAGGAAAGTTTACTTTTTCAATGATGCATAGCCTCTTAACAGGGGACAGATGGTAGCAGCAGAGAACCAGGGCTTCTGATACCTATTCCCACTACTTGATTCGGGATGGAAAACAATGTAAAAGTGGCAGGGACCTGCCATCCAGTTAGCAAATCAAAGAATCAACTGGCCCATATTTGCAGAACTTGGGCTAGTGTTATTTTAATGCCCCCTTACCCAGAGAGGAGTATGGGATTGCCAGAAAATGGCTTTTTAGTTTTCTTTAAGGCTTTGCTTGGTTATGGAGTAAAGAAACAGAATATTTTCACATTGTTCTGGTGTTTGGTGGGAAGCTAGGAAATTTGTTTCCTCCTCTTTTATAAAAAATAAAGAAAAGAAAAGTTAATTAACTTTATCATGTAATACCTTTCCTTTACCTTAATAACACCTCTGCAATAACGCCTCCGCTTGGCTTAGCTCTTAGAGGTTTTAGAAACAGTATCATACATGTCCCATCAAAACAATCCTGGTCTCTTATTGTTCCTAGAATTCTGATTGTTGGTAACATTAAGATGTATTTCCCTTTTTAAAAAAAAATGTCTGAAATGTTATTTAATACACCAGTAAAAGTGCATCTATATCTTAAAGTTTATTCCTTCCATGTCTTTTTGAGTTTTTATAGCTCTTTGTCTGGAATTGGGGAGGGGGGGCGACTTCCATATGCGGCTTGTGCACGAAGAGCTTGGGCTCTGAAAGGGTCTGTAGTTGGCGGCAAACAGCCCTCTGCTCTTAGAATGGGGAGTTGTCATCCAGGAGAGAGAGAGAGAGAGAGAGAGAGAGAGAGAGAGAGAGAGAGAGAGAGAGAGAGAGAGAGAGAGAGAAAGGAGAAGAGGAAATAAATGCCCCCACAAAGACATAGTTGTCACTGATTTTAGAAAGACAGGGAAGGGTTAGGACCCCATCTGAGCGATATGGAAGGGATTTTGATTGTTATGAATTAACACTGAGTGTGCCAAACAACGCCAATAGGAAACCTTGCTGTGGAGTAAACTTGAACCTGTGCCCTTTTTTATTTGGGTCATATATTTTTCCTCCCACCAGCATTTCTTCTGGATTTGTTGTTTAAAAAAGAAAAGGAAAAGCCACACATCGAAAAATATGGCCACAGAGTTCTGCAGCAGAGTGGGAAAAAGAAAGTTTCTTGTGGGTTTGTAACAAATTAGCCATTGTAAATCACAGGGCTTTAAGGAAAATCCATGTGGAAAGTGATGGGGGCTCTTTCCCTCCTCCTGTTAAGAAATCTCATTCTATCAGAGGAATTTTATGTGACCTTTTATGTTCTAAGGCACATGATTCTGGAGAGAATTATTTGATATTAATAACTTTTTGTTGATGTTGTCCCCCTAACAAATATTCCTTCAAAGTTGGTGCAGCGACTGGGCAAGGCGGGTCTAGGCAAGGCAGGCCAGTGTGCTGCCAGCGGGCATCAGCTTCTGCGCTCAGCCGCTAAACAGGAGCCAGGCCCTCACAGCGTGCACCCACCCCACCCAGGCAGATGAGATGAGGGCCCAGAAAGCTCGGCTTGTGAGCTCTGGGAGAGGAGAGAAGTGAGAGAAACCGGCCATCCCTTGTACTTGCAGCCCAGGCCTAAGGTCCAGAATGCTGCAAACAGCCCCTGGGAGTGTCTGTTTGGAAATCGAGGATTCTTTGCCGCGCCCCGGGGCTCCGACGCCAAGACCCCAGTGGAAAGGGTCGACAGCTCCGACTTTGAGGGCTATTCCAACTCTCTCCCTTCCTAGGGAGGCCCATGTGGGGGACGTCCACTGCGTGGAGGATTGGTGGGTTCACCGGCCGGAGACTGAGGCTAGAAGTGGTTAGGTGGAGTACAGACGCCTTGGGTATGGCCGCAGTCCCAGGGAAAGGACATCTAAGAGCAGGAGTTGGAAGGGCTTTTCTGAAGGCAACGCGTGACTACCAGAGAGATGTGGTGGGGCTCAGGGGGTTGCTTAGGAATAGAGGGCTCAGAGGACAGTGAATCTCCTAGCTTTCTGCCTGCCGTGCTTTTGTGCTTGACTCTGCAAAGTCGGGCCCAGGACATTGCTTCCACTTGGGAGAGGCAATTGTGGGAGACGGTGCCCCAAGAAAAAAGGGGAGAGTAAACAACTACAAGAAAACTGGGGAAGAAAATGGACTGCTGCATGGGAAATAAAAGAATTAGGTCTGCGAGGGCAAAGAATGGAGGACAGTGGAAAGCTGGGGAGCAAAGTTCTGAAGCATGCGCCCTTCAGTTCCCACCCATCAAACTTCTGGCTGTTTGACCTCAATTCCCTGCCTCCAATGGAGAGGAACTTTTCCTCTAGACGCGTGAAGGAAAACCATTCTCTAACCCCCAGAAGCCGGCCAATCCCTGCTGAGCCTAAAGTCAGTTCTTAGCAAAGAAAAGTCAGTTCCCCAGAGACGGGAACCCGAGAGCCCCTCTGGGCACCCTATGATCCCAAGCTAGGGCTGAAAGCTGTGAGTAGAGAGGGTCGCGCCCCAGGACTGGGGGCCTGTCGTTCACCTCCGTGGGTTGGCCACTCCTAGGGCCTTGGGACCCCTCCACCCCTATTAGCTTTCCCAGACTCCTATGAGAAGTCTCCCAGTGAGAAGAAACTCGGCTCTTAAAAGCCTTGCAGAAGGGTGTTGGGAGTTCCAACGCGGTCTTTCCCCTCCTGTAAGAGTTGAGGACGGTTGGGGGTCAGGGTCACTTGGATCCTGGGGTGCACGTCCTGGCCGCTGAGGCGGGAAGCTGGCTGGGAGCGGTGGGAAGGCAACCAAAGGCAGAGGCTGGGGCTCCCGCGGGGGGCAGGTCTGTGCTGGCTCCGGGCCTGGCTTCCGAGGGGCGGCCCAAGCCTCCCTCTCGCTCCTGCCGCGCCGGCCCGCGGCCACTCACCGCGCTCCGCTGCTAGCCCGGGCGGGGTCGTACACAAACAAGGATGCTTCTATTTACTCGCCTCTGCCTGTGGATTTCTAAGACATTCAGCAGGCACAATCATTAAACTAATTTGTATTTGATTGTTTGGGCGGACGGAGGGTAGTTTTATTGCGCTAAGCATTCAAGCAGGCACGCATCGCTGATTACCAGTATACATTAAATAAAGTTGTTTGTACACATTGTCTTACCACATATAGGCAGAGGCTTATTATTCTAATTACTCTAATTAGTGCATTGAAATGTTTTCTACTTGATTTGAGAAGACAGTGATTAGTTCTATTACTTCTTTTAACTCGTATTTTATGGAAAACTGTTGATGCATGTTCAAATCACTTTATTTGCCCCTAGAATATAACGCTGACCCAAACGCAGTGAACTGCACGGCCCTTGTGGGGGCCCAACTTTGATGTGGGCCTGGGCTTGGAAGAGGCGTCTGGTATTTATTATTTTGCTCCCATCCGCGCAGCCTAGTCTCCCAGCGCGGGGCCCGCGGCCCCTGCCCCATCCTGCGCCCCAGATGCGCTCCGGTCTCTGACCGAGTTCCAGGAAACAGAGATCCGAAACCTGCTCGGACTCAGCCTCCCTGGCCTGCTGCCCTGCTACTTCCCCTGGTGCGACTGCTTTTACAAGACTCCCTTAAGCATATTTTCCGTGAATCTGTTTCTTGAGCTTTAATGTTACTATTAATTGATAAGATCAGCTCATCAAACATACTATTTCGATAGGGAATTGTAATTAAAACCTTAATCCTGTTTGAGACTTTTTTCCTTTAAATTCCTTTTTCTTATGGAAGGGGTACAAAGTTCACTATAAAAAGTATTATAACAGGGAGATTAATTCGTTATCTAAATAACAATCTTTGCTATTGATCCAACGTACTTTCCGCCACCTTTTGTGTTAGTCCGGGAGGCCCTTAAACAGGAGAATATGACAAACCAGCAGATTTGGACCGAGCCCCGCAGACTCCGATCTACTTGGGAAAGCGAGGGGTATGAGGACCGCCGCCCTCCACAGTCGGAGGAGGCTTTCCAGGTGGATCCTTGCAGTCCCGCGGCTGCCACTGGGGAAGCGCAGCGCCAGTGCCGCAGGCTTGGTTGCTGGGCCTCCTGCGCGGTCCTCTCCCCTCTCAAAGGGAGATCTGCTCAGTCTCTAGGTAAATATTCGACCGGTTCTGCTTTTACTTTTAATATTTAAACTCGGATTATCCTGTCTCTAAATGCGCGTTCCTAACCTTTGCCGGTGGCTGGATGTAATAAACCCTGGCGGGCTGGGCGCTCAGCTTCGGCTGGTCGCGCCGCCGCCTCCCGCCCCCGCCCCGCCCCCCAGCCCCTGCCCCTCCGCCCCTCGCCGCCCGCAGCGAAAGCCGCGCGGGAATGAAATCAGCGCCTCTCTGCAGCTGACGGCTGAGCATCCAGGGCGCTCGCAGGCGGGGTAGACCGCCCTTTATCCTGGCTGAAGAGTCCTCGGGGGCTGCAGATGGAGACGTGCAACCCCGCGGCGCCCCGGAGGAAAAAGAAACCGGCTTCCTGAAAGCAGCAGCCCCCAGGCATGGGAGGGGTGGTGGAGTGGAGTAGGGGGCCTAGGAAGTTGGGCTGGGTCGCTGTTGTGTATGTGTGTGTGGCGGGAGGAGAGTGCACCCTGTCCAAATGTATATCCCCTCCTTGCACGCCCCCTTTAAAAGAGGTCGTGGCCCCAGTTTGAGAAGAAGCCAAAGAATTTCTGAAGCGAAGAGGACCGTTTGTGCTCCCAGGTCAGCTAAGTAGCCGGAGATTTTCTTCTTTTCTAAGAGCTTCCCCCACTCACACCCTCCTTCTTCCCCTCAAACAAAGTCTTCATCCCCCACGCAGAGACTTGTTATGTAACAAAGTCTCCCATGCTAGTTTAACTGGAGAATAAAGGACACCCTAGCCCCACCCTCCTTCCTCCCCCCACCCCACCCCAGTGCATCTGTTCTCGAGGACTTCAGTCCTCGCACCCAAGAAGGCTGCAGGCCTTGGCCCAGTAGAACTTTGGCGCCGCACAGTGGCACCAGCTTGTAACTACTCTTGATTTTACAGCCGCCTAATCCTTTCAAATGTTTTGTTTCCAAATCAATTCACTTTCCCCCTTCTCCTTCTACATTCTTTCCCTTATCCTGCCAGCCAAATAATTATGAAGGTGACTCTATGCATATGACTCATACAAAGACTTCTAAACATCCCGTCCTAGGTAGTTCCTTAGGAGAGATTTGGAAAATATCACCAAAGGGGACCATACACTCTATACCAGAAAAGTTCCCAAAGGAAGGGAGGAAGAAGAAGAAGAAGAAGAAGAAGAAGAAAAAACTCAAGTCTTAGTTTCTACAGGTTAGGACTATTATAGGCAAGTATTTTTGTCTCAGAGAAGTCCCAGCATCCCATGGGCATCAACACCAGAATACCAAGTTAGAAGCCATAATTTAAAAGCAGGTTGAATGGTTCAATTAGGAGAAAGGGAGTCCAGAAAATGCTATTTTAATTCAATCCAGGAGTCATCTGATATTTCTTTCTACATAGTAGGTTTGTCCCATTTTAGAGTTCAAAATGAGTTTGTCTGTTTGTTTCCCCCAAGTGGGCCACTTGAACAGAGACACATCCTTGGAAAATTTTCTAGAATAGAGAAAGCATCCCAATCTCTAAATGATCCAATGTACTTTCCGCCACCTTTTGTGTTAGTCCGGGAGGCCCTTAAACAGGAGAATATGACAAAGCAGCAGATGGCTACCAAAAGTATCAATTCAGTCTATAGGGCTTTGCTTCCTTCAGAGCCCAGTGAATTAGTCCTTTCCCCACAACACGGGCCACTTTCACTGTGAGTGGTCTTTCCTTCCTATGCCTTTATCCCAAAT